ACTATGTTCAAAATACTCATTTAAAACCCCCAAAAGCTAACCATGCTAAGTGAGTTTGGTTATTTTTGAATGGATGTAGCTAGTTGTATATAGACAGTACATTAGTTAGTAGTGGTTTAGACTCTAAATACCCCTTCGAAGTATTTCACAGGAAGTCATTGTAACATATTAGTGGCAAGACTTTAGTCAGATATATTTAAATACAAACATTTTTCTACATCCTTCTTGAACATTATTTTGACCTGCTACTTCTGCCCACTACAGTTCCTCCATTTTGTCCCCTGTTAAAAACCTTTTTTTCAATAGATTTTCATGCCAATTTGTTCCAGCAGCAGCTGAATCTACTGTCTTCCACAGTGGTACTTTTACAGTACAATGTCTCATATTTCAGTGTTACTACGTACAGTATTTCCATTATTGATCTGTATCCAATCATCCCATGTCTTTCCCCAGTGTCTACTGCCAGTGTTGAGACGAGCACTTCACGGCCGAAAACATACAAATAACAGCCGTGGCGGCGTTCCCTGTGGCCTGAACGTCATCAGAGCGGATGTCTCTCCAGGTGTCTCTGCACTGTAAACAATGCACTGCGGAGTGAAGAGATTCTTCACTCCTGACGTCCCCTAATTGAATCCTCCTCTCAGGTGGACTAATTGAATTCTGTTTCCCCACAGACATGCACTTGGAGGAGCGTGCAGACGACACACACAAGTGCACAGCTGGAGCTGGAGGACCTGCTGAGGGGATTGATGTGCAGGCTGAGGGCCACAGGGACCTGGCAATGTTAATTGCAGTCTTGAAAGTGCACTGCATTATGGGACACATGGGATTGAGGAGCAACTGATCGGGGAGCTGATTAAAATGTCAGTGCACCAGTGGTTCATGAATGTGGTTCGACCGCATACACAGGCCAGACGGTGAAGGCAACACAACACAACACGGCTGCTCTGATGGAGACTTCAAGTATGAATCTCATCTTTTTATTAGATTGATTTGTTTTATAGTCTAGGTGGTTTGTGTGCTCAAGGTCTGGCTTGGGGGCCAGACATAAAACTTGTATATTTGTGGCCTTAGTTTTGCTGTAGTTTTAACCTCGATTTTAACCTCATTTAGAGTATTTCACCTCCACACCTTTAGCTCATTAGCTTTAAGCTAACTATTAGCTACTTCAGTTACCATTCAGAAATTCAAATACGATAATTTTTGTTTGTTTGTTTGTTTGTTTTTTAAGTTATTTCCAGTATAACCTTTACTTCCCTGTTTTTGGCTTTTGTCTTTATAACTTATCTAACTAACCTATCTAATTTTAGCAATCTTTTGACATTCTTTTAGCTATTTTTGCTATTTGTTTGCTCTTTCTTTCAATTGACTTTTGTCCAATAATTATTATAAAATCACTTTCCTAAAGTTAACAGCTGTAACTATATTTTTTTCAAACAATATCTACCAAGGCTTTTGCCTAAGGCAAACTTTAGCAAGTTCTTGTATTTTGATATTTTTGTTATATTATTATAAGATATTTTTTTATTTAGTCTATTGCCAACTCTCTTTTCTAAAAAACCCTAACCCTTATTTTTGCCACAGTTTTCTTAGGTATTTGTAGCCTAGCCTGCTGTTGTTTTGTCCAATTATTCAAAGCACTACACTCCAACAGTTCAGTTTTTGTGTTTACTTTTTTTTTTTAGTAAACTGTTTCCTTAACTGTTGACATATATATTTTATTTAAGGTTGCTCCACAGTGATGCATCTGACTCCGTCTCACTTCATTCTTTCACTACATCCAAAACTCTTCTGCAGGTTCTTCTTTCCATCCTACCTGTCCTGTCCACCTGCAACATCTTTGTCCAACATCAATTTCCACTTCCTGATCTGCTCACCTCCAATCCCGTCCTTCCTGGTTAGTCCCAATAGACACTCAGTCAATGCCTCCTCCAGCTTGGCCTGCCGTCTCTGTGACAGAACCACTGTCTTCAAACCAAAGCGCCTGCGGCAGGAGTCACTGCTGTCTTACAGACCTTCCCTTTCTAACCTGCTGCCATCTTTCATGTCACCTCTGACATTTTTGTCCAGCTACTCCGCCCTACCTGCAGCCTCCTCAGTCTGTGCCTGTGTCAGGCTTCTCCACCTACATTCCTTGCAGCTTCACCTCTGCCTCCTTCACTTCCACACGTAGTCTTTCTTTGCCTCCAATTTCACTGCACGCTTGAATTGAACAGCGCTGACTTAACGGTACACAGCAGACAAACTATGCCCAAATAATCAGATTTTGCCACTGGAGTCTTAATTGTTCTTCTCACTGTACTCAGTAAAACCTGCGTCATTCAGCATATCTGTGGAAAATAATTAGAGTCTGAAAGAGCGCAGGAGAAGAAGAGGAGGAAGAATATGTACGTGGACAGTTAGAGAGTGGTGTCTCTGTCTGAATGTCAGTATCGATCCGGGGGAAATGATTATGTAATAGACCCAATGACAACAGTGAATCCACGCAGACAACTGTCCACTGTCCTGAATGGACCGAAGACACAATATCTCATTAGCATTAAAGAGTTTTACAAACACGTCCTTTCATGCACACACACAGACACACACACAGACTCCACCCGCCCAGCTCTGTGGTGGCCGTTGTCCAGTGTCCTTCAGCATGAACTGCATCACATCCGTCCTCTGCTCACCAGCCGGCAGAGAGATCAAAGCTTTTCCACTCGCGCTGTGGCAACAGCCGACTCTCTCCCCTCTCACTCCCCTCTCTCTCTCTTTTATCCCTGCTCTCAGCTGGGAGGGAAAAGTGCATGTGACCCGTTTCATAACCAGCACTCCTTAAACATGAGCCGACACAGGAACAGATTAACACAGGTTAACAATCAGTCCGTGTCCTCTTACGTCAGACGTGTCCAGTGTCCAGTAACATTTGAGCCGCGATTTAACAATACTGTGAATGCTGATTCGAATATTTAGGTAAATGTATTTACCTGTGTCGTTAACTTGGAGTATTCCCTTCTTTTGTTGACTGCGGTCTAAATTTTAGCGTTTTGTGCGATACTGCTAACTTGTTAGCTAGTTTGCTAGCTTTGGTTCTGTTTGACTTTCATTGTCTTTCAGCTGTTTTGCCTTGCTCTAAGCTGTTTCTGGTCTCACTTTAGCTTTTCTTTGACAACATGTTGCTATTGTGCTGTACTGAAGCTCATCTCTAGTCAGATATATTTAAATACTATGGTAATACTATTGATTAGAAATAGTAAGGATAATATAGCTAACTTTTTCTAATCGCTTTTATTTACCTTTTATTTACTTTTGTATTTTATAGGGTAAACCATCTATTAGCTTTTTGGCTTTTTTTTTTTTTGCCACATTTTAAATAATCTGAACCTATTGCAAATGTTACACCACTAACCTGTTTTTTTTCTCAACTATTGAGCACTTTTGTTTTAACATTGAAAAAATGTTGTTTTGTTAGCAGATGTTTGCGTGCCTTAGCGGTTGCACAACTTATTTTTTACATATTTATTTTTACAGTACACTATGATGTAATGAAGTCTACATCAAATAGTCACTGGTTACAGTCAGGGATGGCTCGATACAACCGTTTCATGATCAATACTAATACTGGAACATATCAATCCGATACTTCCTTTTCTCCTCCAGCATGCCGCGGGCTGCTGTAGCTGAGGTGGTAGTGTTCCCGTTTACGTAATGTTGCACAAAGCAAAGTTGAGCATTTGGGCTAAGGTATCGGATCGGGCGAGCTGTAGTTGTTTTGGTTTTTTTTTTCGATGTGAAATTTTGACCAGTATGGTCTCAATACCAATCTGGAGTATTGAATTGAGTCGTCACTAAGTACAGTCATTGAAATTGAAATTGCAGCAGCAGTGAATGCTGTGTTTTTACTGAAAACCCACGGCTTGTATACAACGTTTATGCCAAACAACAAGTGTATCATCCACAACAGACCATTCAGCTATAAGCCCACAGGGCCGAGGTGCAAAAGTAAATATCCCAATGTTTGTAGACTGGCTTTGTTCTGCCCCGCGTTACCATGGTTCCCCTTTAGCACACCTGAAAACATATTGATACGCACATGTAGCGAACAGTTCAGTATGAATATACAGCCCTGATATAAATATATTCATTCAAGTTAGTTATTATTTACCCTAAACCTAACCTGCTGCTAACCTCAGTCACGACCCACTTTCAGAAGACTCTGGCCTCAGACAGTAAATGGTTTCCATATTAAAAGCATGGTCAAGTTCCAAGTCTGGTATTTAAGATTCAGAGGATTCAGGCTCCAGCATGCCCTTCAGACAGAGTTAAGAAAAGATGAGGGCATAAGTAGATGCTCCTCAGTGCACCGTTGTCTGAGTGCATGTAAATTTGTTCATTCTTGTGTGTCTCTGAGTGTAGTGCTATTTTATTCTTTTTGTTTTCTTTCCCTCCGTTGTTTATACGGGGGCCACAAGTAAGGAGCAGGTGAATATTAGATGTGACTCCTCTGAAAATTCTCATCAGAGGGAGGGGGAGGTTGATTAGATCATTACCTTCCAAAATTGATCTTGAAATGTTGTGAGTGAGTCAGACAGATAATGATAAGGAATACATTTGTTTGTGTGGATGTCTCTGTGTTTTTCTTTCTATTTCAAACTCCATTTACGACCAAAGGATGTTCTTAATTTTTGTTTTTACTGATTTTTTTAGAACTTCACATCAAGGACTGTCTCTCTGTAATCATCGCTGAACTATTTAAAAAAAAGAGCTGCGATTTATTTTACTTTATAAATCTGTAGAATTCCTTTGATTGATATGAATTCACACAGTAAGTCATGTGCTTCAGTCTGAGAACATGCCCAAAATAGTGTTTCAAGTACAAAGCAACATGTACTGCTGCCTAATAAAACCCTACTGTAATATCTCACGGCAAAAACATGTATGTATTTATATATATTTTTGACTACAGACTAACTGACCACCACACAGTGCTGTACTATTACAACACTGTGTGTCAACCAATCACTTTGAAGCATTTTAAACTTAAAGTACTTTCTTTTTACTGCTTAGCTGTTTTCACATTCAGCATAATGACAGAGGCAAATTAACCACACCTAGGGTCAAATTGGAATTCATGGTTAACCTATCCCTGCATGTTTTTGGACTGTTGCAGGAAACGGGTGCCCCGAAAACCCTGGTCCACCTGGGGGTGTGGATGAGGGGGACGCTGCATACTCCATACAGAAAGACCATCAGTTACCACCAGGGAACAGCCAGTCTTCTTGCTGCAAGGCAAATGCTCTCACCACTCTTCCACGGTGTGGCCCTATGCTGGATTGTATGTCCTTTTACTTATTTATGTTGACAGTACTTGTGATATCTAACTGCAGTGATACATGGAAGGAATCATAGCATCACAGTTAATTGGAGGTTTGGTTCCCACTGGTGGTGAGCTGGATGTGATTAAGGTCAGTGATAAGATTGGGTTGAGGCTGAGCAAATGAATTAACGTGTGTGTGTGTGTGTGGGGGGCGGGGGGGGTGTTTGGCCTAACACACGCTGTATGGTCATATTTAGTAAAAGTGATACCATTAGTAATACCTTTGAAGCCCTGATACTTTATCCTTGTGGGCAGGTTTTGTAAGACACCACAAAGTGAGGGATTTTTTTGTGGTTTAATCTTGGGGTTGTGGTCAGATTAAGGATCAGGATTAGGCCAATGTGTTTGATGGTAAAGGTTTAGGGTGAGGGGCGAGGCAATGTTAGGTGCTCACAATACCCCCAAACTACTCTGTGTACGTGTGTGTGGGTCAGGAAAACCTAATGTCGTCATTTATCATTTTGCATGTGCATCACATACTCCTCTTGTTTTCAAGGGACAGGCGACACACACACACACACAAACACACGCGTGTGCGCACACACCCTATTGTCTACAAACACATTTATCCAAAACACACATGCACACACACGCATGCTGATATAATGACGTAAGTCCTGCACATCTGTACGTTGTAAGTCTGCACACGCATGAAGTCAAGGTCATTCATTGACTCAAGTCAAGCCCAACCCTGAAGTGGTCCCTGGAAAATCTAATGTGTGCGCGTGCGTGCATGACACACAGGATCAGGCAGACACACACACACACACACACACACACACACACGTGCTTCCCTGTAAACTGCAGCTTCAGCTCACAGATGCGCACCAGCAGCCTGCACATGACGAACACAGCTGTGCAAAACGCCGCGGATGCGCATCTTCTGGATGGAGCAGAAAAACAACAAATCAATAAAGCCGCGTGTCTCCACTGAGACGGGCTCGTTAACGGCTATGAACGGGCTGGACCGCAGCCAAACACACATGTGGTCCGGCTCCATGCAGCCCTGCATCACTGTCCTCTGCACCGCTGCTAGAATAACCCTCGGGGACGTGAGACTGATCCCTGCAGACGACCAGATCGATTACTGTGATTGATTCATTGACAGCTGGGTCATTTGGCCGTCGGGGCGTGAAGCCATGAGCATCAGCATGAGCATCATGAAGCGCTCTCCTCCCCGCATGTTCGCCGGGGTCGATGCGGCCATGCAGGACAGGACAAGGCATGAAAAACAATTTTCTTCCCGTGAAAACCAAACTGCAGGAATCAATTTTAGCCTCCGGTCTATTTTTAGTGATGCCAAACGGAGGATCGGTGGCAGTAGTAGGGTTTTCAGTGAGTCACAGCGAACCCCGTGCCACTGCATGACTTTTATTACACAAGGATGCTTCATTCATAAGAACTGTTAAATAAAAGCCCCGCAGGCAAATGTTCTCCGCCCAGGCTCCAGTCACAGCCGCGGCTCAGAAACGCAGACATAGAAATGTAGAATGTGATGAATAATGGAGCAGGTAGAGGTGAGAGCTGAGGGGAGAAATGAAGGAAACATTTTACGCACAAGTTTGCTCAGATGAACGGCCCATACTACGGGACAGTGCGCACACCATGCGTGTTAGGGAAGCATGTTTGCGCACAAAGGCAGTGTTATCCAGAAGAACGCATTTAACTTTACACACCTACAGTCATACACACAGGGTACATTCTCTGCCCACTGCGCAGTCGTTCCTCTCCAGGAGTCACTCACCGAACTTTTGCTGCCACCGAGGATATCGCATCGTTTCTCAGATTCTTCCTTTTGGACACGGCAGTTCCCATGCTGACATGGAAACGACGAAGGAGGAAAAACAGTTCATTCCCACAAGAAATACCAGCCAACCAGCCAACTAGTCAGCCAGTCAGCCAGTCAGTCAGTCAGTCAGAGGATGGAGGACTGCGACAGTCAGAACAGAGGCGAAAATAAAAAATAAAAAAGGAAAAGTTGAGAGGCGATGGAAAATCCAGGAGCTGGCGGGTCACGTAGGAGCCTGCAGAGTGAACAGATGCAAAAGAGAGAGAGACAAGGGGAGGCAACTCTCTCCCTCTCTTACTCTCTATATTTCTCTCTCTCTCTCTTCTCGCTCTCTCTCTACGTGAGATAGTTGCAGTGTGAGGCTGAAAATACACAAACCCTTTCCCTCTCTCTCCCTCTTTCTTCAATGATCTGCAAACGCTTTCGGATTGGAGGATGATCGTGTGATATCTCCATCATCATCATCATCATCATCATCCTCACCCTCACCTCAGGGTAAGGAGGGAAAGGGGGAGACATGTCCCACATGTGGATCCATGGCGCCCTGTATCCGCATGTCAAACCTCTGACTGTCGGTCCAATCATATGTGGACTTCTAAATGTGTGCGTTACCTTGTCTTATGTAACAGGTCATTTCAGTAACAGCCTAAGTCCAATGTGACTCTATCTCTAATCCTTAAGTCAAAACTAAATGTTGAACCTGGAAATACCACCTGGTTCGGTGCGACATGCAAAATGTCCTGCATAAAAAAGTGTCTGCATAAGAAGATGAACTCTTGAAAGGTCATTTTTAAAAACATTTTTTAGACATTTCAGATGACACAATTTCAGTGCCAGTTGACCCTATGGGGGATCGCGACCCCAAAGTTGAAAAACACCACCTTAAACGCGACCAAAACAGTAGCAGCCGCAGCTAGTTTTGTTGTTTTTTTCAGCCCCATGTTTCTTCTTTTTTTAATCCATAACTTACACAAAAAATGAGCAAAGAGAAGGCTGTTGAATAACACTGATGACAAAAAAGAAAATGTCAACTTCTTTGATACTGATTTTAACCTAGAAACCTAGAAAAGGTTTTTTCATAATCAAGATTTTTTTTTGTCTTAGAAGTTTTTTCTGAAAATATTCTATAACATTGAGTAGATGAGCACTGACTATTTAGCTTATTTTAAAACTGTACAACTTTAAGTATTGCATTCTCTGACAGGGAAGAAAAACATTCAGCTTCCATTTGATTGGAGTCCTGATTTTACCTCAGATGTTGTCTCAGTTACATCATGTCCTGCCATCTGACATGAAACAATTGATTTTGTAATTTACATATAACCTATGTTCTTTAATTTCAGCCGTACAAGTGCAGTTACAGCCCACCCGTCGGACGACCTAACAGAGTCCCGGTGTCACTGAGTCCATGTGTAACCTCTCCTCACTGTTGGCCTGAAGTCAGACTCATATACAGCAGGTTGATGCTGAGAAGAATATTTAATGAATGCTAAAGACTCTCAGAAGCCACAGCTGTCGGCGGAGCAGACAGGTAAACAACCCAAATTAAAAGCGGTGGAAAATACACCAAGACTTCAGGATATTTGACCACAGGTGAAACACATGGCAGAGCAGCAAAGTTGACGTCAAGGTCAGGGAGTGAGTTTACACTTTCATTCTTTAATTAATTTACCTATCAGAGATATAAAATAAAACAAAGTACAGCTGTAGGCTGCTGTGGTTCAGTGGGTTCTCTGTGCACAGGGTTGGGGGTTCTGTTCACTTGGTTTAGTCCAAGCTTAAGTCAGGGTAAAAGGAATGGTTAAGATTTTAATTCAACAAATTAAGGGTTGTCATTGCTTTGATCAATAATATTTTTGGAATAAGAACCATTGTTGAGAATCAGCATCAGAGTATCAGGTAATAGGCTGCAAATATTTTTGTTTGTAAAGCAACCTGCTTTAGAGTTCAGAGTTTCAGAGTTTCATTTTTACCATAGTATCATCATCATCCTCCATTTAGTCTTAAGACGTTTCATGGTGATAAAACTTTTCAATGCACATTTTTCATCCACCACAATCAAACAATATTAATATTATTAGAATTGTCACATATCGACATAGCAGGAAGCAGGCAGGATGCAAATGCAATATGAGGGAGAGCCTCTTTAGCGCAAGGTGCAAATTCACAAAACCCACAGGATTGCAGGAACAAGGAACAAAGAACAAAGAGCAGAACTTCAGGCACGACCATGAAGGGATGAACACCAAACAAGAGGCATGAACACACAGTATCAACCAAGGCGTTGATCTCACCAAGAACAGAGTGAGGGACAGAGGTATATACACCCAGGACACCAGGTGACACCAGTGAGACTAATGAACACAGACACAGGTGAGGGTGATCACACTGATTACAGCAGGAACAGGAAACAGACAGACTTAACAAAAATGTTGTTTGATGTTTTTGGACTATAGGAGGAAAACAGAGGATCTAGAGAAAACCTGTGTACCTGTGGATTTTTCGCCCCTCTTTACCCCCTCCACCAGGGGAGGCAGAGATGTTGCAGCTAAGTCAATTAATTTCCCTTTCATTTTCAATACGTTCTTGATTTGTGTCAGTGAAGGAATTTAAATGATTTATAATTGTATTTTCTTTGTTCATCGAAAAAAGCAGCTTTGGAGGAAACATACTGTGAATGTGTCAAAAGCTGCAGTTTGGGGACCACTGCTGGAAGGTTAGGGTACATACATCTTTTACATCGCCATGTGACCCTAATAGACAAGTTTCTTTATGTTAAATTTCCACCCTCTAAAAAAACACTCTTTGGGTTAAATGAAGGGAAATAACCCAGTGAAATTCAGGGTGATTTTGCAGCCGTCACATGAGCAGATAGAGTCGACCAATCACCCGGCGTTACGGACGATTTTTCCTTCAATCTTTGCGTCGATCAATCTCTCTGTCCACAGGTCGTTTCACCTACAGCCTGACTCTGCTCAGTGTCCTTGGGCTTTATATATTTTACTGTCTGCTTTTTACACACACACATTTCTATCACACATGAACATGGGCGTGCACTCACACAGTTACACACATAAGGGTTACACAAACTCTAAGACAAAAGGAATGGAAATCAATATATAAAGCCAAGCACCGCTGGGCTGCTGTGAGCTGCTGGAGGCAGGCATTAAGCAGTAAATAATTCCAGGCAGCTCTGATGAGAGCGAGGGAGTGTGTGTGTGTATCAACAGAATATAGATCAGAGAGGAGGACAAAGGGATGAGTGGCGGTACACAGGACAGGGTGAGGGAGTTTGTTTACCCTTTTGGCCCCAAAATAAAATGACAACAGAAATAAAAAGGCGTGAATGGAAAAAGAAAGAAGGAATGATTATAAAGAGAAGACGTGAACACATTTGGGATGAAAATAGTAGGCAACGAAATGAAAAGGCAATGAAAGCGGGGGGGGCACTAAAAATGACATACGCTGTCATAAATCCACGCCTGCCGTCAGAAGTCTGTGTCTGCTGTGACCACCACCAGAACCCACTGTTGGATTCTTTATGGAGCCGATCAATATTTGTAACGGTCTCCGAGATGCTGTGTTTACAGGAGAGAGATGTGTTTAGTTCTAATCCCTCATGTCAGGTGGTTAATGTTTGATCAACACTTTAGTCAGTCTGGAAGTTTGTTGTCCTGGTGCTGATCCAGTCTGAAATGTCTGTTTTCATTTGCTTCTGTTTTATCCTTTTCAGGTTGGAGACGGAGACAGATGTCTTCAGGTGAGGACGGGATTACACACCTGCACCGATCACTAGTCCACCACATAAACACATATAGGGATAATCAACAATTGATCAATAGCATTCACACCTATGGTCAATGTAGAGCAGTGTTTATCAACTGGTGGTTTGTGGGCCCAATCTGGCCCACCAAAATGTACTTTTTATTTCATTTTATTTTTGTCCGCCCCCAAGGTGCCTGTCTGTAACCTAACTATTTTACACAATTTAGGTTATTTTACCCCCTTAACCCACTTTGCTTTATTCATGCTAACTTTTACCAGTTGGCAACATAAGCCAATTATGGGCTAATTGTAGCCAATCTTTAAGAAGTTTTGCCGCAACTAACAATGTGAAACAACCTTTGAAACAAAAGCGAACTTCAAGTATAGCAAAACTAACCATCATATTTAAACCCTGATATTTCCATAAAATATTTCCAAACCCAGACTTTGCCTTACTTCATAACCTCTTCTCGCTGCAGATGCCATTGATATCTTTGCGTGTCATTTGTGTTATTGTGACTCTCCTGTCCCTAAACAATCACATGTGAGCTATTGATTTGAGCTAATGGTGTGCCTGTATGAATTATGACGCTGTGAGCCTATAGCTCCGCCATTCTCCACATCTGCCGACATTAGTTTATAGCATAGCTTGAGCTGTCACGTGACTCTCATAAATCCAGTGTAAACACAGGCCTATGTACATGTTTAAGAAACAATACACTGCTGATGTGTGCATAAATCTGTCACACGCTGCACTCCAGTCACTCCATAATAGCGTGAAGGACTCACGCTGTAAATCCTGTTCTCCTGGAGCAGGCAGATCCCCTGGATATGAGGAATTACATGAGGAGAGTAATGGAAAAGGGGGAAAAACAGTAGAGAAAACATTCTGATTGGATGAGGGTCGAAAAGAGACAGGAAGGAGAAAAAACAATCCTTTACTAGATTGACTTTTTTTAAAAAAAAGGTAAAATACAGGGAATAATATTGGTCACATTAGGTTTGACCAAGATCATGGATCGCTGCAGTCAGCTAACTAAGGAGTGCGCTAGCTAAGACAGTAAATAATAGTGCGTTTGTTGTAATATGTAAAGTTATCACCAATGTAGTTAAACAGCTGAAAATCAAAAAAATGTCCAAAAAGGTTCATAGCTAAATAGCTTGCTAGCTAGCTAACTTGGAGCCAACTAGCTAACTTGATAAGATAAACTGGCCAAGATACAGTAAACTAATACAAATAAAAAGGCTAGAAACAGCGTTTGCTTATTTCAACTTAGCCACTGTTTACCAGGGATTTAGTAATTAGCCAGATGAATAATGTAAATCCCCAAATGTTGTCATAATCGGATAAAATTAGCAACAAGAAAAACAGAAATATCAGGTAAATTTACACACACACATAGGCAAAGGTTAGCCAAATATAGTCACAATTAGCATAGAAATAACTTGGAGTTAGCCTACGATTGGCTAAAAAAACCCAGGGGAAAAAAATAGAAGAAATCAATTAATTAAGTTAATTAAAGCCCAAAGTTTATCATTGACTGCTATAATTATCTGAACTGTGTACCAATAATAATAAAAATGACCTTTATGCTTGAACATTAGCAGAAATATAACTAAAGGTTATCACAAAAATAAGACTTCTGTGGACCTTCTTCAGACAGACCACAGCTATTCTTATCAAGACTACCTCCATAACACACACACACACACACACACACACATATATACAGTAAATATATATATTTTTCTTTCTTTCTTTTTCAGGTACAGCAGTTTTCATTTTGCGCCTGGATTTCCCCCTGGAATTTTTCTCTCTTATTCTCTACGACATACTACGGTCAACAGAGCCGGTCGCAAATAAAGGCACAAACAAGGTCAGTCCAGAGACATTTATCCCTGCTGCACACATGAACTCGCAGCTACATCAATCTCACCTTAAGAAGGCTGTGTGAACACAATTATAATGGTATACACACACACACACAGAGGCAGCTGATAAACCAAGCATGAGCACTTTCCTGGAAAGACAGGCCACGTGCAGAACAGGCTGCTGTACAGCCAGATCCTTATCCAGGTCTACAGTAGAACTGAGTCTGAGTCTTAAACCTGGATTGTTCCCTTCATGTCAGAGACTCACTGTAGACGGAGCACAGAAACTGCAGGCACACCACCAAAATATGAGTAGTCTAATGTCAAATATTAGACCAGCAGTCCCAAACGTAAGGGGGAGGTTCAGACACAGTCTAAGTGTTAGTGTTAGTGTGGGCTACACGGGGTTAACATGTATTGAACAGTCTACTGGTTCACCTGGTTATGGATGGAGACTCTTTGAGATAAACATGTATTGTAAGATAACCATATGCATAATAATAAGCTTTGGTGGGCGACACAGAATAATTTGGCGGGCCACATTCGGCCTGCGTGCCTTGAGTTTGACAAACTGTATGTTGTTTTTGCCTGAAATCCAGTTCTATTCAAATGTTCTGTTAGTCGTGGGGGGAGGAATTTTGATTGAAAATGAGAAAAAAGCCTGTTGCAATGCTTTACAACCCTACACAGGTTAAAAATGTGATGTGCGCTCAGAGCTCTTAACTATCTGATACCTGATCTAAGCAAACATAACAGCATAACAGTACCGTGACATAATGATAAAACTTCAAAGGTGTTGGCGACGCCTCAGGGACCTCTCTCAACAGGATTTACAAATTAAAATCCAAGCATTTTAAAAATCACGTAAACTGTCTTAGAACCTTTTGACCTCATATATTTATATTTGCTACGCTAACGTCTGCAGTGACAGGTACTGTCGCCAGTTTAATACCACAGAGGGACAAACGAGTTATTAAGTCATTCCCACAGCTCCGTGTACTTTGACAGTTTTGATGACTTTGCAGACACAAAGTAAAGTATTGTTGGATCAATAATTTCTGTCACACATCTCTGATGACAGGAATGGTATTGTCATTATATAAATATTGATTATTGTTTTTCTTGGCAAATGTTTTCTTGTAGTCATTGTTGGTCCCATTGTTTGGTCTCTGTTTGGATTATTATTTTATCGTCTTTGAGAAAAGATTTCTGCAGCTATGTTCTCCGTCCAACAACAAATCTGTTCTGTAAATCGGTGAGAGCAGAGTGGTGCCACTAGCAGCAAGACAAATTGTTGTGCACGGCTTGAATTGTTGCTCAATGATTGGGCTTTATCTACAAAGTGAGTTCAGGTGTGACTGCTGTGTGTTCACATGACAGTTCCAGACGGGCCCGGAGCCTCTGTGACACAACTGGGATCTCACTAGAAATTAGAAAGTGTGTCAGTGAATAACTCATCACAAAATAGATTTTTCTTAACACACACATTTATGTCAGCAACACCTTAAGGGTGGTAAAATTATGGCAAAATAGCTACATGTTGGCCAAATTTGAAAACATGTCACAAATGGGTTCTCAGAACTATTAAAGCCTGCCACGAAATACCTTAGAAGTGGTTCTCAAAGCATTGGGTGCATCCCCCCTCCAGAGCAAAGAGCTAATGCAACGGTAAAATACAGTGTTTTTGGTACTTGTGGGAAAGTCATTTTGGTGGGAAGTTTGCACTTCCATTTGCAATTTGTATTACAGTCTTGTAATTCTTATCATCATGTCATGTCTATGAGAGACGGCCACTGCAGAAAAGGTCGGGAATGAAGTTAACCAAGAAGATATTTTAACAGTAGCCAAAATATTTGGTCATTACAGTCCATGTAACTGGCCAAGGACATATCAAAAACACTGACATATAAACAACAATACTGTACATCCTTTGTTGAGATGTATATACTGCAGTAATTCATGGAAATGAAAAAACGACATAGTCCCATGAAACTCATTGAGGTGCCACTATTAGTCCCAGGGACAGACTTTGGACTGGCCTGCAATCACTGAGGCTTCTGTCCGTGGTCCTGAACACCAGGGTAGCCGTCTGTGTAACTCTCCATGGTGCTGGAACCAGACAGTAAAGGGAGGGACAGTGAGGCAAACAAGTGCGGTGCATGCTAATGTTGAGAATGACCTAGACAGAGCATTTGGCAGAGGTAGTAAAAAGAGAGTTGGCTCTAAATAAAAAAACTGAGAGAGAGTTTTCAGAGTGGGTACGACAGAGACTCAAAATCAGTAAGAAACACACATTTAATAGAAAGGAGTTAAGCAGGACAGGGAGGAAATGAAACACACCCCTGATACACAGACTGTAAGTGTTAACCTGCGTCACTGGACGTGTCCTCCTCCACTCCTTCTTCACCTCCTCAGGGAACCAGGGCAGCCCTTATTATTTATCACTGGTGGATATGAGCTTCATTAGAGGACGAAAATACGGTCCTTCCCCTGGTGACTCATCTGCTCATCAGTCGGTGTCCATTCCTCTCCTCGCTGGGTAAAGGTAACCGGTTGGTAATTGTCATTCTTCCTGGTTAATGGGAATCCCTGCAGTCAGGTCGTCCACCCACGCCCTTCTGACATTCAGGCAGCAGCAATAAATGAGGCATGGAATCCCTCAGATGATGGCGAGGATCATTGTATTCATTGGTATGATGGAGGGAAACACACACACAGTGACACAGCTGGCCTCAGAGCTATTCTAGGTTGTTGGTTGTTGCTGGTCTAAAGGAGACGCTGCTCTTTTAGAAGAACCAGCTTTTCTGAAAGCTGACAGATCAAGACATAGCCATTATTGGACGAAGATCTTTTTACACTCTCATCAGTGTCCATCAGAAACATGGTAGGGTTAGGGTTGAGGTTACTAGGATTGGGGTTACTAGGGTTAGAGCTGGAATAAGAGGTTTGGTCCAGTCTCCAACAAAATGGAACATTCCATCCCAGGGTCATCCCTGGTGCCCTGAACCCTGGACCCAAACAACTGACCTCTCAGGAATGGATCATATTGATCCTGTCTATGGGAGCGACCCCTCCTCTTATGGAATTGTATAGGTTAGATTTAGGTATTTTTATTTATTTCATTATGTATCAATTTTTACATTTTTTTATTATTTCTTCTAAATCTTTCATTATTAATTTTCTTTCTAATATGTTTAATTTTAATCTTTTTTAAGTGATTTTGTTTTATTTTTAGTCTTAAGGATAGGGCCTAGGGTTTTTTCAACTATTGTTTGTTTTTCATGTTTTCATTTTTATTCATTCATTCCCTTAATTTCCTATTTTCTTATTTTTAACCACTTTAACAACAGTGTCCTTTAAAGGCATCATTTATTATTTTTCTCATTGGTTTGAGTGGAAAGGCTTTAACACCAGCTCCACACCTGGTATCAGCTGCATTCACACAGACTGGTGTCTGTACAGTGGTGTGTCCTGTGAGCTGCCCTCAGCAGCACAGGGCTCCTGCAGTGCTTAATGCTGCAGCTCTGTCAGGTGGTGACAGCGACGTGATGGCCCTCTGCTCCACAAAGGCAGCTATCAGTGTCGTCCCTGTCATCTGTGCGCTCCTGAACAAAGGCAGCCACTCTTCCTAAAAGCCAGGCAGATAAGAGTCAGGGCAAAGCTCCTTCAGCTATGAAACGGTCAGACGGTGGCATCTCAGCTGAGGCTCTTGACAGCTGAGCGTTTGGTTAAGTCGCACTTCATGTGTTTGTTTTTCTCCAGTGGCTAAACATATCTCTATACTGTATTTTTTTCATGCTGTAAATCCACAACAACCACCACAGTACCTTTGACCAGTATATTTGTCTCATTCCACTTTTGAAGGTCTTGTTTAATTGGATGTCGGAGTTGTATGACATTCATTTCTTTAAAACTTTTTGTTTTGTTTTATATATGTATGTATATATGTATGTATGTATGTATGGGTATTTGAAAAAGGTGTGAGTGGTTTCTGACTCAGTTAATCAGTGGATGGGATTCAGGATTGGTTTTGTGTTACACATGGTAATAATTCTGTGGTAGTGTTTTTAAATCTTTTTGGCACCTGGCCTTTTGTAGCTGTTTTTTGGGTATTTGAAAAATTAACATAGTGTTAAAAGCATGAGTAATGGAGGACCTGGTTTCTACAGACCACCACCCTTCAGTGAAGTAGAGCAGTACCACAGCACAGTCAGGAATAATACAAGTGCATGAATTTAATTGCAGTTGGTCTTTAATGAAATCATCTTAATTCCTGTATAACAGACGAGCTCCTGGGTTGATATAACTAGACCAGCAGTACTTTTCATTTTTACTCAAAGTCAAGTTTAAATTAAGGACATTTGTACTTGAGATTTTTTCTTCTTTTTTTCAGATTTTAAGATGGGTACTTTTACTTTTACTTGAGTAGAATTTAAGCAAAGTAAAGATACTTGAAGTTTATACATTTTTTTGTTTATACAAAATGTGTCCTATACATTTAAATACAATTATGTAGTTGACTGTTTTGAGTCTGTTTTTCTGATTACTGATGTATTTAGTGGGAAATAGACACAATACACATGTGAACACCTGATTTTATTCAGGTATTATCTATGTATTAGTTCATTTATAGTTTATTATAAATAATTTTACAGTTTATAGTTTATTAGAAATACATCTATTTATTTATTTATTTTTGCACCATGTTTTGTACAAATTGGCCTCTAAATGTGATCACAGTTTACATTTGCCCCAAAACCATAATGATTCCATCTGGTGTTGCATTTCCTTATTTCACACACATTATAAAATAGCAGACTGTTGGGGACTGTATTTTCAGTCAATGTTTATATTTACAGTGCAAAGTACAGCAGAATATGTTTCACATATAGTAGTGTATTTGGCAGTGTTTGGAAGAAAATCTCCAGAGTTTCCAGGATCAGTGTTGCTGTCTGCCTCGGCCAAGAGAGAAAAGGGAAGAATGGGGGAGAGAATAGAGGGGAGTAGAAAGACAGAGATGGTGCTGACATGCAGTACAACACTGTAATATATAAAGTATACTGTATATTACAGTGAGAAAACAGTCCTGGTGTAGGAAGAACGTTATCATTAGTGTTAGATGTTGAAGTAGTTCTGCTGCTTTAGATGTTAATATTTATGAATATATAACATATATGACAAATGAATAATAGTTTATATATTGTTTTCACGCTGACATTTAGGATTATATTTTTCATGTGTTCTGCTTTAAACCCAGTCGTAAGCAGTAATAAAATGCAAAGTGCTGCATCAGGAAGGTTATCTAAAGTCAAATATATGCTAAACCACATACACATATTATCATCTCTGACCATTCCTGCAGAAAGATGCGAAAAAGAACACAACACATAATTCATGGTATGATTTGATAAGATTAATTTGACATTTTTCTGCTTTTCACTGCCACATCCTCCTGCCTCTGACTGCGGAATAAATCCCCAAAGGATTCCAGCAACTGATTCTAGCGCACTTATCCGGAGTAACATCTCAGATGTGAGATGAACGGATGCAAAGGCCATGAGATAAATGCAGTACGTGAGTGGAATAGAACGTGTCAGGACCGAGTGTGTGTGGAAGAAAAAAGATCAGGAGAACACGCCTTACTGTAAATGAACAGGAATAAAGGCCGGATCAGGATCAGAGGGTTCAAAGGTCAAGGGCATTCAGCAGTGGTTTCCACCCTGGCCGTCTTGACACTATTACTGTTTGGATGATAAATGTAAAGACAAGCGCTGTGGTACAGGTCACGGCTGTGGAAGACCTCCGATGAAAGGACATTTTTGCTGTTTTGTGCTAAAATTTTACATATCTTTGAACCCAATCTTGACTGCAGGATTTCTTCTTTTTTTTTTGCCTCCGGCTTAAAATACCATCTCACTGGCAAATGTGTGTTTGTTGAGATGCTTATTCGACAGCCTTCCTTTCTAATATGAAAGGGAAGTTTAATGAGGCTACCTGACAGTGACTAAATGTGTAATTGAAGGATAAAAAAAGAAAAAAAAGGAAAATCAGTCCCAACAAATTCCACCCAGCGCTGATTTGGTTTTGTAGACAGGAGGCAAAATAAAGGGCGAGAGCCAATCAGAGGTACAAGTAAACAGAGATTGAAACGTGGACGTTTGTCCAGGTGTAGAGACAGTAGAAGACAGGAGCACAGGAAACATCTGCCACTTTAATCAGTCGAATATTTATGTATATAAAAATGTAGCAGTTAGTAAAAAATGTATAATAGAGTTTTCACACAAAAATAAAACATTTAATTTGAGCTTTTACGACGCCGGTAGTTTTGAGTTTGGGGGATAATGGTCAAGATTTTCTGAACATGATTTCATCACGTGGACCATTCAGCGTCAAAAGCACATCTTAAAACAATAGACAATAATCCATTTACTGCTGTTGTTGTTTTTAGATGGTTTAGGTGGTCAGAGAGCACGCAGTGGAATTTACAGTGTAGTAAAAGGAGCTACATAACTCCACCAGTGCACTCCTCCAATCTCATTACTGCCCCAGAACCACTGGAGAGACTAATGGCTTTCCTGTTGGCTCTTAAAGGTGGGACAGTGTGTAACTGCCAGTGTGTGTGTGTGTGTGTGTGTGTGTAAAGGAAGAGGGAAGGCCTCCTCCATACGTGACAACCATTCCTATCCTCACCTTGTCTCACCTTGATACTGCAGCACACATCCCTCCTCCCTCCTTACCTCCTGCCTAAATCACTCCCAGCGTCAGTTCTCAGGTGACATATTTCCACTACGCCGCTTAATAGATTCTCGCACTCGCTGGTTGGCAGGAGCGGCAGTGGTTTGATTCTCGGAGAGGTGAAGGAGAGGCTGGTTAGTGGACAGGAACAAGAGGGATGGGAGAGGGAGGAGGAGTGCAATGAGGAGGTGTGGAAGGAGAGAGGAATGAAAGGTGATTGGAAGAAAGAGGTACAAAGGTAGAGGGAAGAGGAGAAATGGTTTCTGTTGGAAGGAGAGCGAAGGACAGTTGGCAGCTGCAGGAGGAGGAGGAGATAAGAGCTGAGAACCTCAGGTTCTTAGGTTTGATTTAGTGTCCTGAGAGGTTTTGGGGTTTCTGTGTAGCTACAAGAGGGAAACCATGTAGTCCACTCTCCTAATGGATCTGTTTTGTGAGATTAGATGTTTATCTCTCCTTTATCACGCACCTGGGAAAAAAGGTAGAGTTTTAGCTTCGTAGGTGAAAGTGGGTCGCGATTAGGTTTTTCATCCCAATCTTTCCTCTCTGTTTTTTTTGTAAAAAAAATCTGCTGTCGGTCAAAGTCAATGAGGACTGTTTGTTTGTTTGTTTTTTAGGGGGTAGTGTTTGGGGAGGGGTTCAAAGAAAAGCCTTTGAGTCTGAAAAAAATACTCTCTTATCAGGCAAACGTAAACTGTATTCCACGAAAAGTAATGATGTGAACGGAATACAAACACAAACCCACAGGCTTAAGTGCAGGCCGGATTGAGCCCATGGGCCGCCAGTTAATAATCACTGACTTAAAGTTTAATCTTAAGGTATGTTTATGTGTTTAATTAAAATAATGCATGATTAAAGATCTGGATGAAGTTGTCAGAGTCGTACGGCTCCTGGGTTGGCGGGGGATCAGCACTTCACTTACCCATCAAGGACAGTGTCACCTCAATCTGAGATTAGTGAAGTGTGTGAAGATTTCTCTCTCGTTTCAACATTTCTGTTATGTCTTATATGAGCTACACTGCACAACAGTGCCCCCACCTTTGCCAGTGGTACTGCATTTGCTAACTCTGGAAAAAAAATGTTCACACTGATGAGGAAACTAAAAGGCTTCCTATACATATTCAGTGTTGAGCGAGAACTACGATTATAGGATTAGAGATTAACGATTCACTTAACCTGTGACCTTAAGCATTTACAGTCGGTTAATAGCGTCCTCTGCAGGTAATGAAGGTGAAGCTGTGTAACACATAATTCCAACCTCCACTCTCCTAAAGACATTAAGTTCTACAGCTCCGGTCAACGGCGTTGTTATGGATGTCTGCCTGTAACAGAGAAAACCACCAGTCAATATTAGCAGACAGTACTTGTATTCTTCTTCTTCTGCCGCTGCTTTTTCCTCTTCAACATTCACCTTGAAGAACCCCCTGTGCTGTAACTCCTGCATAGTTACCATGTATCAGTATGGTAACTAATGTGAGTAGTTCTTCAGGAACAGGATACCGTTAGGCTCTGGCTGGAGCTGGCAGCCGTCCACCACACTGGTGACAAAGTGCAGATGAATGTTGAGTCTGAAGCCAGTGCTGGGTGTCCTCCCAGAGGATGACTAATAAATCACATATGCCTGTTTGTCTCTGTTTACTCAGACAAGCGCGACCTGGCTCCATCCATATGCCTGCAGCATGCATGTGAAACAGAACAGGAGGAGGTGGAGGAGAAGGAAGAGAGAGGAGCGCTACAGTTGTAAAGCTGAATCCCAGCGATGTCACGAGACATCAGCCGACAGAACCAACACCCTGCCCATTCCTCTGTTAGTGCATATAAAAAAACCCCGGCAGGAACAATTTGTCCTTTGCAGGGAGGGGAGTGATTTACTGCTGTAGCTGAGTGTGAATGCCAAGGGGCCGTAAAGCTGCAGCAGCTCTGCACATCCACACGCTGACGGCCACAGAGACACCACTGAGTCAGGCTGAAAAGTAAAATGCACTACATGTTTACAGCATTATTCAGTCAGACTTTAATCTCATTCAAAGATTTCCACACACTTCTATATGCGCCAACGTGCACTGATAAAAGTGCACTTGCTGGACCTGCTCGATCCCCCTGGTCTAGAGCTGCTGGGAGAAACACAGAGGTAGAGTGGAGATTGAACCAACAGATCGAAGTGATCACATAGGCCATGACAGGTTGATAGAGGGTTCACACAGCCATGATGGAGGCCTGGACGGAGAGGCTGCTTTTCCACTTTGAATGCCCTGCACCGCTGAACACGGTCAAAGGGTTGTTTATTTGTTTGCCTGCTCAGTTTGAATCTTCCATAAGAAAAAACTGAATACAAATAAATCCATTCCAGCCCTAAAAAAAAA